TTTTTTTATCCGGCCCGCCCCACCAGCCATTTAAATTGAAATGAAGCCGCGATTATTTAAATCGCGGCTTCATTTCCTTTTGCCGATCAGCCTAATCTACATGGCTCCATCAATGGAGCCATGTAGTTTAGACACACCCTAAGAGTCAGAGGTCTTGTCAACACCAAAAAGATGTACTCTGGTAACTCAACCAGAATAATTATGCAGTACCACTCCTAGCAGGCCTTGTCCATACTTGGTTTGCTAGTCAGGAGGGCTACCCTGGCAAACCCCAAACAATCTCCTGGTGGAGATGCAGTTATTTTTCCAGGAGTTCTTTCGCCAATATAATACACCAGTTCCCCAAACAGAATAAGCTATACTGGCAAAAGTTGGGGTTTTTTGTCCATGTAATAGCATCTACACTAGGACTTTTGCTGGCATAGCTATATCAGTTTGGGAAGGGGAGAGGTAATGTTGCCATAGGAATGTTGGCAAAACTTTTAAATATAGACCAAACCCCAGTGTGGATGCAGTATATCAGAGTAAAGGTGCTTTTTACTGGTATAACTATTCCCATATAGGAAAGGAATAAGCTATACTGGTAAAAGGTACCTTTATATTGATGTAACATCATCCATCCAAGGTAGGGTTGCCAGCTTTCTAGCTGCAGAAAACCAAACACCCTTGCATTGCCTAGAGGCTCACTCCATCCCCCTCCTTCCATCGCTCACTTGCTCATTTTCATAGGCCTGGGGCAGAGGTTGGGGTGCAGGAGGAAGCTCCAGCAGAGGATGTGGGCTCTGAGGTGGGGCCAGAGATGAAGGGTTTGGTGTACAGGACGGAGGTCTGGGCTGGAGCAGGTGGTTATGGTGTCGGCAGATGTGCAGACTCTGAGAGGGTCTGGGTATGAATGGGTGTTCCGAGCTGGGGCGGAGGGTTGGAGCATGGATGGGGGTTCAGGATGTGGGCTCTGGGCAGCACTGACCCCAGGCAGCTCCTGAAAAGTGGCAACATGTCTCTCCAGCTCCTAGATGGAGAAGCAGCCAGTGGTTCCACATGCTGTCCCCACCTGCCAGCACACTCCTGCAGTTCCCATTGGCCGTGGTTCCCAGCCAATGAGAGCTGCGGAACTGGTGCTCAGGGTGGAGCAGCACACAGAGCCCCCATAGCCACCCTTATGCCTAAGAGCCAGAGGGACATGTCAGATGCTTCCCAGGACCTGCACAGAGCTAGGTAGGGAGCTGTCAGCCCTGCCTAAGCTGCTAATCAGACTTTTAATGGCTCAGTCAGTGGTGCTGACCAGAGCTGCTAGGACCCCTTTAAAGATCAGGTGTTCTAGGCAAAAACCAGACATTTGGCAACCCTATCCCAAGGATAGAACTATACTGGTTAAAGAAAAAACACACCGCTAACTGACCTAGCTCTAACAAAGCAACTTCCAAGCGCAGACCAGGCCTCTAGCTGAAGGTGATCTACAAATGGAGACTATTATTACTAGCTATGGGTTGGTGATGTTATTTGAACTGCCAGCGTGTCAAAGGGGATTTATGCAGCCGGAGAGGTGCAGCCGGGTCAGCACTGCAGGTACATTTCTGCCTCACATACCTGGCACATCTGCCAGGCCTCGTCTGGTTGACTTACAATGCTCCAGACAAGTTAATGCTTTCAGACAGAAAGTCCTAACCTCACCATGGAAACGCTCGACTGGAAGAATCTCAATAGCCACTCCAAGTCGCAGCCCGACACCGCGCTAAGGACATGCTAAGATCCGCAAAGCTGTCCCTGAGACATGGCAAAGGGGCTTATCATTGTTGAAATGCTCAGATATTTTTAGAGTAAATACCTGAAGGCTCTGCAGTGTTCAGTACAGTGTAGATAGAAAACAAGACTGTGTCAAGCGCCACAGACCCTATGGGAGACAGAAGTGGCCCTTGTATGTCTTGTTTCGCCCACTTCCACTCTCCCTGCACCAGGAAACGCTAGGACCCAGAGGCATTCTCCTAGGACAGCTCCACCCATTTGCCTGCCAAAAGTTTATATAAAGAGGCCATTCCACTACGGGGGGGCTGGCTGTTGCTTTGGAGAGAAAGAGATTCACAATCATATGTACTTTTGGTTTGCTTATTCCGCTGCAAACCCTGCTTTGAGAGAACAGCCACAGAGAGGCTGTACAGTATTTTGTTTTGCTCTCCTACAATGTAAAAAGCAAAGCATGATTGCATCTTAGGTAGGGGAATTGAGCACCTTTTGAAAATCAGCCATACGAGCACAACTACGCCACTGCATGGAGGCATAAGCAATTTGAACTAGGTAGAGAACCCAAGTCTCCTGACTTTCAGTTTAGGGCCCCTATTCATCAGCCTATGTGTCAGATTCCCACCACACACCTTCATTTACAAGCTCACCTGGAATGCAGGTAGCAACTTTAAAATGCGACGATCAGAGACCATAAAATATAGCACAGGAAATAAAAGCGTTACTTACATATTCTTTAATATCCTTTGATTTTACAGCTTTGTAAGAATAATATGCAGGATAAAGAGTGCCAAATATAATCCTGAAAGAAAAAAAAGAAATGGAGAAGCTTGATTTTCTGACATGGGGAAATCTTTTTTCCGTCTGTTAGCTGCATTTCTTAACAACTGTCTGATCTAGGTTCTACAATACACCATGCACTGCATTCCACAGTGGTCTGTATTACAGGGCTGGTCCTGCCTCACTAACAATTTTGCCATTGATTTTACATGGAGCAGGAAATTGTTTTCCCTTTTTTGTGGCTCTCACTTTGAGGCTTCATTACCCTTCATAGGCAGCTCCCTCTGAAAAGTATCAAAAAGAGTCACGCATCAGCATGAAAACAGTCCAAAACATACCCAAAGTCCAAAAAACATACCCAAAGGTAAATGTAATCTTAAAGTAATCTATAATGACACAGCAAAGAAGGCTGATTAGTTGCTTTTAGAAATGAGACAAAATGGGAACCATTTATCTGAAATCTCCAGCCCCAAAAATTTAAAGAGGAAAAGGGACAAAAAGGGGTTCAAATGACACCTGTTTTTGGTTTGACAACATTAGAACCCAATCCAGCTTTCAGATCAGGGCAGAAAGAATCCTCCATAGCCCCTTTGACTTCAACTCTAAAACCTCACAGTTTTTCCCCTCTGAAAGAGACACTGCCCAGTTCAAAATCATAGAGCTGTAAAAAGAATCCTTAAGCTACTAATAAGCATCTTAGATTTTAAAAAGCGAGGGAATGTTTACAAAACTCAGCACAAATAATGAAGACGAAAGGACTCCTTTTCTCTTCACTATTTGTGCTGCGTGCTCCCTTTGATCATCATCTCTTTAAGTGTCAACCCCAAAAATAGGCTACTCATTTCCATTTGCTCCTAGAGAGGTTTTAGCCAGTTTACCCTGCGACTTCAGTTTTCAATCCCAGCACTGCAGTATCCTGAGCAGGGGAATGTTTACTGAGTTTTTAAATAATGTTTCCACTGGACTTTTCCTTAATTTCAGGTAAACATTTCTTAGGGTTTACACATGTTCATTGTTTCAAAACCTAAACACAGAGAGCCATACTCACCTGATATTAGCCTTTCCATATTGCCACTAGATTCCCCTGCCAACTGACTCACATGCATTTATGTCCAGTTCATGGAGGAGAGATTGAACATTTACTTTCCTCTATGCAGCACACAATTGTCCCCACCAGAGCTGTCCCGGGGAAAGCATTTGCCAAAGAACACAGTGAGACGGCACACTCTCTTGATTTGCAAAGCTAGCGCAATTTGCTGGGCATTCATCATGCCTACTGTAGCATAATTTAACAAAACCCAGAGCATGATGCAGACTTCAGAAAAGCAGCCCCATAGTGAGGTTCAGAAAGAGCAGCTATAAACTGGGAGCACTGAAGTTATTTTGTTCATCAGAGATGTGCTGTATGGAGAGATTAGATAATATGCCCAGAGAGAAGATTCTGGGAAAACACTTTCATTGTTCTCCCTGGAAATATTTTAGCAAACAGCAGCACTGGTTAAGGCAAGGGAGATACACAGACAATGGCCCTGCCCCTATTCTCATTGAAGCTAAACAGCAAACTTTCCACTGACATCAGTGGTAGTGGGACCCAGTCCAACGAAGAAAATGCTAAAAGAGGCAGAGTTTCTCTGCACAGCTCAGAAAAAACAACCATGCACATAAATGAGTTCCTCCTCTCCACACACACCTTATTTATAAGAGATCCTCATTTCTGTCCCAACCCATTTCCCTTCCTCCCTGGGCTGGTTGCTCTCTCACACCCGTTTCCTGCAGAGATTCCAACATCTGATTATTTATATTTTCTTCCACAGTTTATGCCAATGATAAAAATTAACTTGGTCTTAGAGGCAAATGAGTTTACAGGAACTCTGGAACACAGTTATATATGGCAAATACTTGGAAAGTTTCCTGAGGGGGAAGAGAAGCCCTTACTATTTTGTTTATGCAAAGTATACATGATAATTAATGGGCTTATATGCCTTTCTGTGGTGGTTATCCATATATTTTAGAGAGTGCGTGCATCTGCCTGCCTGAGTGTCCATTTGTTCCATCAAATTTGGGATGCAGCTTCCTCTTACCCTAACTTAAAGCAAGGTCAAGGTTTGGTTGTGCCAGGAAAATGAGAAGTGCCTGGAATGGGAATGGTTTCAAAACATGGAAAGGGAGGGGGCAGAGAGGAGGGATGTGAGTGGCTACTGGGGCAGTGAGCATGGAAAACGTCATACTGCAGAGTCCCTCACCCACCAGCCTCCCCCAGAGCCTCATCCCCCTGGACCAGATGAAGGTGGGAGGAAGGGGTCACTGGAGACCTTGCCACCTGCAGACCAGCTGCAGGGCTGGGGGGCAACTGGAAGCCTTGTCCCCCTGGACCAGCTGCAGGGCTGGGAAGGGCAGCTAGAGGCCTCATCCCCTCCCCTCTGGATCAGCTACAGGCCAGGGGTGAGCTGCTGCATGCCCCTTTGCCCTCAACCCACAGGCAGACTGCAGCCCAGAGCTGGCCTCCAGAGCCTCAACTCACCCCCAGACAAGCTGCAGGGTGGGAGGGAGCAGCTGCATATCAGGTCTGGCCCCCAGAGCCCTGTCTCACCTCTAGACAGCTGCAGGGTGGTGGGAAGGGGAGGGGGAGCTGGAGCTGTGACCCACCCCCAGCTGCTGTAGAGCGAGCTGTGACCCCCCCCCAGCTGCTGCAGAGCAGGTGGGGGCAGCTGGTGGCTGGGGCTAGCCCATGGAGCCCGTCCCAGGCAAGCTGGAAGTCAGGTTGGCGCCCAAGACCCAGCTGCCGTAGAGGAGTCACCACCTGGAAAGTGCAGCCCCTGAACTCCTCATGAGTAACGGTAGTTCGAACTAGGAAGCCTAGTTCGAACTACCTAGTTCGTGCCCCGTGTTGCCGCGCTGCCCGGGGTTCGAACGAGCGGGGTTTTAAAAATGGAGGCGCCCCGCTTATGCAAATGAAGCCCGGGAAATTCAAATCCCGGGCTTCATTTGCAAGTGCGGTATGCCTACATTACCCCGCTAGTTCGAACTAGGAGGGTAGTGTAGACATACCCTAACAGAAGGCCTAGAGAAGTTCAGTCAGATCCTCCCCCTTCTCCTAATACCTGCTCCAGAGACTGTTCAATTAAACAGAACAAACACATTTTTCTGGTGTCTTACAACGTCTCGTCTCTTCCCAAATGCAGATACCGCAGTGGGGCTTGTGACACACCAGTAGGTTGCATGTGCTCACTCTCAGCACTGAACACAGTCATGTTGCAGTTCCTACATTCTTCAGCCATATCGCTGCAGTCTAAATTCATTAGAACCAGTTGGCAAAAAGACCTAGAAATCACTGCAGCCAGCTCAACAAAGACCTCTGCGTATCGCACAGATGTGTGGAAAACCACAAGCCAAATGTCAGTGTAACCCGTACACCTACTGGGGGCAGTACACTGGCCCATGTAGTGGCACTTAGCCCACTCACGGAGAGAAAGAACACGTGTGCTCTCCCAACAACCCCACACATTGCTACAGTTCACGACCTGAGCAGCGCCGGGTACATCTGCTAGTTGTAAAGGAGGCACAACCCAAAATTGCAGCATTGCTTCAGAGGAGAGCTGCCCCTCTGCCAGGGGGGGCTTCATTTGCAAGTGCGGTATGCCTACATTACCCCGCTAGTTCGAACTAGGAGGGTAGTGTAGACATACCCTAACAGAAGGCCTAGAGAAGTTCAGTCAGATCCTCCCCCTTCTCCTAATACCTGCTCCAGAGACTGTTCAATTAAACAGAACAAACACATTTAGGGTTGCCAGGTGTCCAGTGTTCAACTGGACAGTCCAGTTTTTGGGCCCTCTGTCTGGTAAAAAAAATTCAGAAAATACCGGACATGTGCAATGGGAGCCTCTGGTTGCGTCTGACATAGGAGTGACGCCTTGGGGAGGAGGAGAAGCCCTGTCCGTGCTCCTGAGCGCTGTGCAAGCGCATTGTGGAGCAATGGCCAGGCTCGCTCGTGCTTCGCCGGGACCATGCACGGGACAGGCAGTGCCCTGGGATCTGCATGTGCCCGGGTCAGTCCCACTCCCTGCTGGCTGATTCGCTGCCACCCGCTTCTTTCCCCCAGCCAACCCTGTTCTCCCTGACCACCTCCTGGCCAGCCCTGCTTCCTGCCGGCTGGTTCTCCTCCTCCCAATCTCCCCCGGCCCGCCCCGCTCCCCCGGCCGCCCCC